TCCCGGGATCCAGATATGTCGGGATCCCGGAATCCCGGTATTTTTTAAGTCCCGAATATCCCGGGATTAGTCGATTTAAATCCCGGGATTGCTGGAAACAATTTTTTTGTTAGCCAATTAAATTTTTATCACAAATATCCCCTCTCAAGGGCAAAACAAGAATTTTTTGCAACCCTCAATGCTATAATTTCTTTAAGATCGCATTTCCATCAATAGAAGGAATAATTTTGCTTCGCTCAAAATGGAATAGGTGAGGCACTTATATATTTATTTTTTACTTAAATGTGTTAACTTTTTTATTATTGCTTAAATATACTGATAATATCTTAAATTAATCTCAAACAGTGATTTAAAAAATTGTATATAGTTACATAGGCAGTTACTGCTGTACCAAATACAGTCACTTACAGAAATATTTTGCATCGATTTTTTTTGCAATATTCAAAATATTTTTCATGGTATTTTTTTTTTTAATTAAAAAAAATATATAGCTCATTTTACAACAAAAATCATGTAAATCAAAATTTCACACTTTAGAGAAAGTTGGTTTAAGTTCACCAAATTATCATAAAAATATCAAACTTTTTAATTATAATTTAATAAAAAAACTCTATTATGCAGTTTTATAGCCCATTCAATTTAATACAATAAAGTGCAATTTTAAAGTTGCTAAAGGCTCCCTTGATTTTTGAATTTTTTTTTACTGACGATGTTGGGCATTTTCTTCCTTATAACGAATTTTTTTGTGGCAAAAAAAAATATATAAAATGTCAACGGGATGGTTTAGCAACTTCAAAATTGCACATACGTATATATTTTTTTAAATTAACAAAAAAAATACCATGAAAAATATTCTGAATATTGCAAAAAAATCTATGCAATGAATGTGAACTTCGGGGGCTCGATAAATTTCTATAATTCATAAGTGTATATATCGCGATATAAATCGATAACTCGATAAACCTTGAATACGTTTATAAATGTTTAATTTTGATAGCTTCATATTTTTTGAAAGCTATCGACAAATTTCGATAACTCGTTACAGCCTGTTAACACGATAAAATTCGATAAGTAGTAATAACTCGATAAACTTATATAGCCTAGAAATTTCGATAAGTCGATATATTGTGAAAATTCCATAAACTTCGATTCGATAAATCGACCAATTTCATTAGATCAATAATTATCAATAACTCTGTAAGTTGAAAGAACCGGATGCATTACGATAACTCGATAAATTTCGTTAGGACTAAAAATAATGACAATTCAATAAATATCGATAACATGAAAAATTTCTTTAACTTGACTGGCTATCTCAGATCCAGAGTGAAATCTTGGGTGGAGAACTTTCAGAAAAAAGTGCATCATTCAATGATTCACCCGAACTTATACTTCTTTACTTGTTTTATTTACATATACATACATATGCGCGGACATCACCTGCAACATAATTTTTTAAAAGTGTTTAGGCAAACTGTTTTTTTTAAACCTAAAATTTGTAATTTCCTATAATTTTTTTCTAGTTTTTTTTTCTAGTATTTAATGCAAATTATATCTGAATGACTAAAGTTTCCCATTTGCTTTAATATTTAATATGCGACTAACTAAAATTACCACTGCTAAATTTCAGAAATTCTTCTGTGCGCCGTGACCTTATCTCTGCCTCGAAAAAGGCCACTCTAGTACAAGAAAAATTGAATTTGTTCGCGGCAAAGCTACTTAGATTAAAAGAATTTGCGCGAGGCCATTTGGGGACCTTAACTGAGCGACACGTGGCGTCATTAAATTTTCATTAAGACTGCGCATGGCTAGGTGCGTTGGTACGTTGGCCCTCTGGATGGGCAGGGGTTAAATTTTAACAATGATTACCAAATTTACTTCGAATGAGCGAAATTTTCATAAAAACCGAGCAGCTGCTACTGGTACGCAAATCGGAGCATCAAAAAAGGTTGGCTTTTAAGTGAAATTTAAGTTTTATTGGAATTGTAACTTCCCAGAATTTTTTTAGGTAAATTAATTTAGTGCTTTCATGAGGGGCAGGAAGGAGTAATTAGAGGGATGAATAGTAAATGCTTCGAGAGTTTGAAAGGTGAAATTGAAGAATGAAGAATAGACAGAATAAGGGAAGCGCGCATACGCTACGTTACAGAAATTGACGCAGAGATAATTAATTGTTTGCTTTGAAGAAGCGTGCATACATACATGTGTAAGTAAGTGTTTTCTAATTATATTTGCAGTACAAAGACACAATGGCAAACGTTTTTTGCAACAGCAGCATTGTTGAAATCACAGCGCGTGGCATGAGCTCAAAACTACTAGGGGAAACCGTACATTATTATGTGTTCTGAAACGAATTGCCGTCGTTCTCTGTTAAAGTTGATTTACAGACAAACCGGTTTGTCTACAGACGCAATTTTTCGGTCTTACTTAGTTTTGATTTCTTGTTAAAGCATCTTTATTCTATTATTCTATTCTAATTATTTAAATGCAAACAAAGCAAATGCTTGAATTTTTCTCTAACAAAACAGTTTTTACTTCTTCGATTCGGAATATTTAGTAGTGGCCTCCTTGCTTTTAATTTTCTTCCTCTAACTCTGACAATCAGCTGAATTACCAAAGGCATTTCAGCGCGTGCCGTTCCTCACCATTCCATTTTTCATCCTTCGCAAACTTTACATGCAACACGAATCCCTCACTCCTCCTTCGTTTGCGTGTACTAATTTCCTCAAAATTTCCTTTCACTTTAATGCTGCTTTATATTTTGTTGCTACGCCATTTCCTGATTACCTTAGTGAAAAGGCTAAATTAGGAAAGCTGAAAAAAATTTCAGTTAGTGGCAACTAAGTAAATATATATAGACATTTATACAGGATGTATGAAGGGAGGTATGTTTGCATCTGTACTTTCGTATGCTTGTGAGGAAAAATGCGGCTGTAGGTGGTTCACACTCTTTTCTCTCGGCTATGAGTACAACCAACCGGTGCGCGCTTACTAATTTGCTTTTGATTGAAAGACACGCGAATATCTTTCGGCTAATGACAGGCAACGAAGATGTGGGTTTCTACGCTGCATGTTCTCTCTGTAAACGCTTGTCGTATGCCATGCTTTAGGTTTCAGGTTTAATTGTGTTGCTAGAGGAAGGTGGTATGAGGAAAACGGATGCTGATAGACCAGAGGAATTCACCAGCTCAAAAATGTATATGCGTAGCTTTAATAAAGGGGAAATACACTGAACTAAGTTTTTTATGGGGCAACACCATCATAACCGTTAACGTTATCGGTATCGGTATCGATATTCTTATTGTTATATTTTCCACTTAGCTGCTAACGCTTTCACTAGCTTTCTTTAAAATAAAATTTTCTCTCTTCTTGTTGGCCTCCTTCGCAGCCCTCCTTCCATCTGCCGTTCACCTGTTCAAGTGGCCCTTTGCATTGAACTTCAACGAATGTCTAAATTGATCCCACCCCCCTTGACACACAGTTCAGCTCACTTCAATGATTTTCGCTTCGGTTGCTGATGTGGTTGTCACTCGCTTGCAACAATTACTCAAAAATTCAGTCACTATCCAAATTCAAATCCGTCGTCCTGGTGGTGGTGTTTGTGCCATGGTAGCTTGTGCCACGCTGAGCTTAGGCTAATTTGATGGCGTAGTCTCCCAGGCGAATGACATGCTAATTTAGCAAAATGTGCTCCATTCAAGCATTTCTTCTTCAATGAACCTTCAGTTGCTTGGTTGATTGCTCACTTCGACTATGCCACCCACCAGGACGATAACAACAACAACAACAACAAATAACTATTGGCTGAACATTGTTAAGGAGCATTAACGCTGCGGTTAAGTTCTGGCTGCGTTTTCCATTAAAAATTTCGGGTTAAAGTGAAAATTTCTTTAGGTTTCTGTTGTGGGCGTAGTGGTTTTTTCTTTCTCACTCCATTTTTTTTTTGGTGTCGGTTCTAGTATAAGAACAACGCCACTAATTTTAGCGGAAATCAATACTTTAATATTCAGCGGTGTTTGTTGTTTGTGGAGTTTCCCTTTTAGATTTATATAGACATATTTACATTCATATAAATATATATTTATTTGTGTATTTTTGTATGCATTGTTGTGTGTATGTTTGTGTGTGTATGTATAACTCCACGGAAGTAGACGCATTGCCATTTATTGTTCATTTCCCCGAAGCGCCTAACCTCTTTAAGCGCATCATAGCATCTGGGTATCAATTGGTTTTTTTTTTTCGGTTGACGAACTCATCCGCTGGGAATGTATACAATCTATTTCATGTTAGGCTACCGCATTTGGAATTCTTGTAGCACAACTTAAAAGGGCGTTGCTAAGTGTCATCCAACTCGTATGCGTTTCACACTTTAGGCTATATAATTTGCCATCGACCCTTCCGCTTGGGGCTCTTAACATCCTACTGTATTGTATTGTATCTTCAATATTTCGGTGGCCGTGCAAATTATTCTCATCTTGCTTAAGCTGCGCAGATCATCCAAAAGTGATCGTTTAAAGAAGTACTTCAGCTATTTGGCAATGTTCATATAATGTATTTCTACAGAAGTCGCCCTAGACATATTCTGATTTTGAGGTTACTTTAAGTAAATTTATCGAAGGCATACGAGAAGGCTACTAGAGAAGAACTAGAGTTAAATAAAAAAACACGCCTTACAACTCTCACCATTATTTACAAAATGAATTAAAGCATCGAGCATGGAAGGCCTATCAATTCAAGATACCCGATGTAAGGGCTCCCGGAAAGCATTTTTTCCCTCTACACAAATAATTCTTATCTGAGCTCCATTACTACTATTTGATGACCCAATAGGAATGAACATTCATTAGGCTTTGAAAAGTTTCTACTATAAATAAATGCAATGATTCATATCTACTTCATATTTAAACTCATCCACCTTCTGTATCGAATTTTCAGCAATTTATTGGTCCCATCAAAAAATATACCTTCAATGCTCATTTCTTGATTGCATATTTACTTACCGTATAGAAAATCTCATTGAGATGATAATTGTAGGCATTCCGGACATAAGTACGAATAATCTTATCGCGCCGCTCGCCCTCGAAGCCATTCTGTATATCATGTGCGCTGAAACGCCAAATAGACTCGCCGGTCACCACGCCGAATAGCACATCGTAGTGAGCGCCATTGCCGCCCAAGCCGAGGTTGGCGCCGCTGCTCATGCTCGGATAGTTCGCAGTCAGCGCGCTATAGTAGGCGCCACCTGAGGATCCACCACCGCTGCCGCCCCCACCACCACCACCGCCATTGCTACCAGCAGAACCAGCGCTGCCGAAGCCATTGCCACCGCCGCCGCCACCACCCGCGCTGCCCGCATAAGCGCCACCGGTAAAGAAAGCATTGATACCGCCATCTGCTGAGGCGCGTTTGGCGCTGCGCATCATTAAATCATCGATATCGAAATTGGAATGACCGGGTCGTATAACGACACCATCAACCTAAATTGAAAAAGTGAGAAGATAGAAATGAAATGTGAGAGAAAGGAAATGTTTTAGTGTTTTGGTTATATGGTTTGGCAATGCGTAAAATGGCAGTAAGAGTTTCGGAATGAAATGCGCAAATAGCAAGCTGGTATTCGTAGTATTATTTCGGCTTTAACATTTCATCACACTTTACTATGCCTTTTGCGTATGTATGTATGTATTTGTCTTTAGTGTAAGTATCTGTAGATTGGCACATAAAAATGAGTGATAGCCAGGCCGAACGACGAAAACGACAAAAATGAAAATCGAGAAAATGAAATTGAGTAATAAAGTCAGCATAAGAAAAAAACATCAAATTATCGCCTCTTTCAGTGCATACACACCACACACACACACACACAAATATAGTGGTGTGTAATGCCATTAATGCAGCAATAGAATGTTTGGTTTTAAGGATAACAAAATTGTTTGAATAAAATTGGGCAAGAAATGAAGCTGCTGGCATCTGTTGCTATTATCAAAGGTGACAATGCGCACTGGTTAGAAAAGAAAATATAAATAATAAAAGAGGGAAGAGGGGCGGGGGGGAGAGTGTACACTTTTTTGTGTGCTTCTTTTATACTTTTTCTGTCTTATTTTATCGCTGGAGTTTCATTTTTTACATTTTAGTTTTCCTCTAGTATGCATACCATACTCATAAAATTTTTTTGTAGAGCTGCGTGCTAGATGGTAAATTAAAAAGAAATATACTTGCGTGTGAAAAATGGTACAAGAAAAATGTTTCGTCGCGCCGTCAAATGATAAAGGGAATAAAATGGCACAGGATACAAACGAAAGGAAGCGTTGATGTGAAGATAAAAAAGAAAATTGTCAAACAGCCAGACTAACTAGCCTTTTTGTAAAGCAGAATGATAAGTTATGAGAAATTCAGCAGCAGTGTAGTTAAAAATTCGTCAAAATTTTTTGAGCAATGAAGACCCCTCTAAAAAAAATTGTTGAATTTAGTGAAACTTTCCGCTTGATAGAGCAAGAGGTAAGGTGACGTTTAGCGATGCAATAGGTAAAAAGCTAGGGACTCTAGTTATCGATGCTGATGGTCTTCTAAAATTTTGCAGATCAATTGTTTCTCAGACTCCATAGGTGGATGCTGCCACCTATTTGTGTGCCAAATTGAACCTAAAAATATTCCGGATTTTTAGCGAGAAAGCGCAACAAACGCACTGACACACTCGCCCTCTAGCAACTCACAAACTTTCACATTTATAATATTAGTAGGGTAAGAAGCCTGTCGTATGTAGACGTTACAGACATGAATAAAGATAATGAAAATTTTTTCTGCTAGATTGTGCCCCATGGCAATAGGCAAGCAATCCCCTGGAGTTACCGTAATTACACAGACTGATTAACTTTCACTTCGTAATTGTTAAGACCGTGGAAAGGCTACTATATCTTGCTATATTGAGGCTTTCAATACGCTAAACCCCTACTCAACTTGCATTTGTCAATTAAATATTGTCGGACTCTGCATCTACAGCATCTGATTAGAAAGATCAACGGACAACTAGTTATTTTGATAATGGTACCATGGGATCTAACTCAAGAGAACTGCTATAGAGAGGCATAGATCACAGCTTTTTTTTCACGGATCGATACTAACATTTTTAAGCGTCCTTAAAAAATACCTTCGTGGAAATTATAGCACCATGTATGTTATTATTATTATTATGTATGTTATATCAAAATACGAAAGTGTGGTCCCGTTGCCTACTTAGAAAACGTGGTAATTATTGTTACGGTGAAACCCTTTGACTCTGACGTTAGAAGTGCAAGTTAACATGTGGTGACACACTGGTGTGGCAATCATCGCCTTTGCGTTGGAAAGACCAGGTGGAGAAGGACTTGGCTTCACCAAAATCGCTAGGCGTTTGCAGCGCCAATAAAGAAGAAGAAGGTTTTATAATATTTTATTTTATTTTATTTTATTTTATTTTATTTTATTTTATTTTATTTTATTTTATTTTATTTTATTTTATTTTATTATATTTTATTTTATTTTATTTTATTTTATTTTATTTTATTTTATTTTATTTTATTTTATTTTATTTTATTTTATTTTGCAGCAGCCCCCCCTATCTATAATTCTATGAATTTTAAAATAATATATACTCCAATTTAAATCATATTTCTTAGAGAACAGACATCTTAACAAAAAAGGTTTCGAGAAGACCTTTCACCTGGATGTTGTCTTACGTCTGTGACTTCTGTTACCAACCATTTGACTGTATATAACTAACTAGACATTAGGGTGGTAGAGAAATTTATTTTGTATCTTTTTCTCCTCGGAGCCATGCTCAAAAGTTTCGTTTAGACGCCAAAATAAGTCTCAGAAAATATCAGCCTTTGGTGTTATTATTAAGAATGTCTGCATTGTACGTTTCGATTTCCCATAGGAATAACATAGGAAAAATTGTTTTTTTAATCCTAATTTTTTGTTTAATGAACAATACGTTCAACTGTAAAGGTCTTGCAGTATTTGAACCTTCTACAAAAATGGTCTGAAGTCATTTTTCACTAAGTCAACTCGGTCAAAAGTTATTCGAGGTCAAAGTTGAATTCACCACCATTCCAATTTTGACCCGAATAACTTTTGGCCGAGTTGACTTACCGAATATTGACCTCATACTTTTTTGTAGACCATTAAATTCTCTACTCCAAGACTTTTATAGTACAAGGTATCGTTCCTTAAATATAAAAATCAGAAGTAAAAAACGCTTTTCCTGTGTGGGAAATCGAAACGTGCGATGCGGACATTTTTAATATTAATAATAAGGGCTTATAATTTCTGAGACTTATTTTGGCGTCTAACCGAAACTTTGGAGCATGGTTCCGAGGAAAAAAAAAATTGTTTTCTGAATCGCCCTACTACACATACGTATGTATGTATGTATTCCCGGCGCATAACTTCTTTTTTTGTTCGAAACGTTTTTATTTCTTGCTATCCTCCCTGTTTCCCAATCGCCTTCAGCATTCTTTTGCTGCATAAGTGTTTTTACTACGTTTTTTTGTCTACTCTTATCATTTAACGTCTTAACTAAAAGGTCGTCAATTTTAAATGCTGTCATTTACACACACATTCACATAGTACACACAACTCAGCTGGAAGTGCATACATACATATATATATGAACATATGTATGTGTGTACTATGTATGTATGTTTAAGGAACTGCTTGCAAACGAAAGGAGGTGGGCGCTCTTGCCTTTGACCTTCGCCAAAGATGTCTTGATCAGATAGTTGTCCTCTCCATTTAAGATTTCAGGCAAATAGTAGACTTCTTTTTACAACGTTTTTGTTTTATTCAGTTGTCCCGCTGTAAGTTTTATGCGAAAGTTTTCGACCTTTTCTTTTCAATTTATTTTGCTTGTTGAAAGCAGTGGGCTATTAATTTATTGTATGATAAAAAAGAAAGTGTGTATTTTGTTGGGTTGTAACTTGAAGTTGGCTAAATTATGTATGTCAATGTGTAAAGCGTTTCTTTATGACAAAATGTAGCTTCAAATATAGTTACAAAGTGTCTTCAAAGAAATGCTTGGATGTATTTTGTGTTTACTTTAAGAACACAAATAAAGAAATTATTTTCAGAGGTTAAATTTAGTTCACTCCCGAATTTCTTAAACTCTAAACTTTTGAAGTAATCGTGTTTTTTATCAAACCCTAAACAATAGTTATTAATTCTCCACTTTTACACTCACCGATGGTCCGAAGGATGTTAAAAAATTCGGCGCCTGTATATCAGCTGCATACAAATCCTCCAGCGGCACTTCGCGCAGACAATCGACTATCTGCTCGTGATGCTTATTCAAATCCTCTGGTATCGAACAATTCAACTCCTTCGCCAATTTGACGGCGAACAAGACTGGATCCTCGACCAGTGCCCAGGATGAGTACGCCGAGCCGGACATGAGTATGGCGCGATGGAAGAGGCCGCGCACCATTGTCGGCGATGTCATGAGAAAATTGATGCAAGCGGCGCCAGTGCCATGCCCCGCCAGCGTGACTGCATTCGGGTCGCCGCCGAATTTCTGTATATTCTGCTGAATCCAATGCAGAGCGGCCATTTGGTCCATGAGACCGTAATTGGCCACGCGCGCATGTGCCTGCGGGTTGGGGTTGGCATTGAGGAAGCCTGCAGGCGAGAGAACAAAAGAAAAATTCAAAGAGAGCGAAGGAACAATAAAAAGTTGCGAAATGAATTTAGTGAGATAAGCGCGGAAAATCAACATAAATTATAGCTATTGCTGTTTGGGCTTGCGAAATGCGCGCGCGGGCGCTCGTTCGTTCGCTTGCATGCATTTGTGGCAGTTTAACTTAAGGCGCTGGCACTTTATTAGCGCTATATATTTTATGTCGGCTATTGTGGGTTACTTTTATTTCCCTTAGTTTTAACATTTTTCTTTAACGCCGCAACTGCAGCTTTTCTTTCAAGCTGCACAGGCAGTCAGCCAGGCAGCCAGCTGGCCAGCAGCGTGTCAGTGCATGTCCGCTTTTATGTTGCTAGTTAAACTTAAGCGTTGCTGTTTCCATGTGCTTCATACTCACCCAGAATTCCTAAGCGGTAATTAAGCGTTACAACGACCACTTCGCCGTAGCTCGCCAGCACGCTGCCGTCGTAGGGATTTCCGCTGCTCCATTCGAACGATTCGCCGTGTATGAACACAATTACGGGCAATTTCTTTTCGCTGGCGCCTGCTGCAGCAAGGAGGTGCGAGGTGGATTCCAGTGCGAAAGCAGTTAAGCAATAAATGTTAGATAACGGTAAATGATGAGAGGGAAGAAAATAAGTAATATGCTTAAACAGTAAGTAAAATGTTGTTAGGTGGTGCATAGATAACGGTATATAAATATATATATTTGGCACCTTAGCGCTGGGTGGCGCAAGACTTGCCATAGGAACAAAGAAAATTAAAAAGAAGATCCCAAAGTAAAATTAGAAAATAAAAATTCATGAGCAAACAACACAGTTAAAACGCTTCAAGCGCCCCTTCCTTAAACGCTTCCGTTTTGAAAGCAGCAGTTCTTTCTATTACGGGTTTGAGACGCTTACGCGTAGTTATTGTAATCTTTTCTTGTTTTTGCCTCTATTATTGTTTTTTCACTCTAAGGTCGCGTCGTAGCAGCATGAATATGAAAATGGCGCCAGGAGCAATGGGACTAAAACGGGGACATGGCGCTGGAGCAACTGCACTGAGGTGTGTGAAGCTATGTGGGCGCACGTGTTGATTTAATTTGCTTTAATTTGCTGCCATGCTTGTCGGAAGTTGTTATTTGTCCATTCGTGAAGCGGTCGCCATCCCATCCGCAGCGCTGTAAAGGCATTTAATATTTAAGCTTCGTTTCGAGGTTTTTACTTTGCCCCGAATTTTTCGTAGTTACTTTGTTAGTTATTTCTCAGATAGTTAAGTTTAATGGCGGCACTAAAGATGGTTTTCAAAAATTTATTCTGATACTAGCGTGGTTTGCCTAAAATCGTCTCAGTTTCGGTACATACAGGTAAAAAAGTTGCAAGGACCACTTGGAACTTGGAGAGCTTGGATACTGTATAGTCGATATCCTACAATGACAACAGTTTAGAATACGTATGCGAAGGGAAAATAAATTTTTTCACAAGCCTAATGAAAAATTCGGTCGGTTCGGTTCAACGGCTCGAACCCTTTTGCAGCTTTGGATTAGTTCATCGAAACGGCTTTTTTCGCATTTGAACTGGAGTTTTGGTTGGATTCAATTTTTCCAGCCTATGGCTCTGGTATCAAAGGGACAAAAAAGCACACATTCTTCTACACTACCTATAAATCTTATGCAAATAAACCAAGTTAAATAAAAAAAATAAAATAAAATCAATTTCACTGGCATTCCAACAACACCAAGCCAAAGGAAAAGTGACGAGGAATGAGCTAAATTGTTTGTGTTCCTTGCGGAGTTCAAACTTCAAATTTGCTAACCGCAAGTAAATTAGAATTTTCAATCAAAAAGTTTTCACGGCGTGCTACTAACCACCGCGGGCTAGCAGTAAAGCAGCGCCGAAAGTTGTAAAGTAATATTTAAAGATTGTATATATGTATATGTAGATATACGAACCCACTAACTTCTCTGTATATACATACATACGTTAAGCTATTTTAGAGTTATGTTTTTCTCAGAAACTCTGTGTATGCATACCTTGTGAAGCAAAAACTTCTTAAGCTTGGAAAACTTGGCAATGCCTTCTTTCACTTTTGCTGTTACCACAAATTCAGTCAGTTAGTTGTCACTTAAGGTTTCCTAATTTCCTGTTCAAAAGCAAATGATTTGAAGAGAGATTATTTTTAAGACGCTACACTATGTAAGACATTGCTCACGAGTGAGTCGGCGGGTACCTAAATATGGGTCAGAGTGGAAGTTTAAGGAGGCTCGTAGGTCTGAAGTAGACTTTGAACTTAATTTTGATCAGCTTTTTTTGCAAATATGAGTGGCCGATATGAGGTTCCATTGTAGATGAAAGGTTCCGGAAAGCAATTTCATTACCAGCGACCCATGCAGGGAGGAGTGGGAAGAAGATATTAACATTCCAGTATCTGGCAGGCTCTAAACTCGACAGCAGAAGGCGTCTTCTCCCGAAATCCTCCTCAAAAAATGTCTTTTAGGTTACCAGACTACTGCAGCATATTTCAAGCTGAGGTTTCAGTAATCTGGTATATAAGCTTCAAAGGGAGATCCAATGGAGATACAGAAGATGCCCAAGTTGAAGAGATTTCACCTCACTTGGATCCCTGGTCATAAGGACCTTGCTTTGCCGATCTGGAAATTTTTTCGTTGTAAAGAATGCATTGGTATGCCATAAGCCACTAGCAAGCTGCTTCTTAAAGAATTTTTATACAAAGAATTTGGCGAAAGATGGAGTCAAAGTAAGACGTCTCGAATTTCCTGGCAGACGAGGACCCTGCTGAATTGGAAAGGGCCACGATGCATCAGCCACACGATATAGTTACCTATATAGGTAAACGGTATTTTTTTTAGACGACTAGACGGACACAACTTAATTGGATCTGCCAACGCTCTTAAGAAAAGAAATTGTCGCATTTAGAGTGAAGAGAGTTCACGATATACTCGCGAGGCCCCATTATATCCACAAAAAGGCCACACTGCCTCTGCGATTTATAAGTCGGTGAATTATTTTGTCATTACTTCATTTAAAATGAGCAGCTTACCATCAAAAGCAATAGACTTGGATAGACTTGGCTACATCCATGTAGTGATGCCACCATAGAGTGGTTCAATAATATACTATTTTACGTAACGATTTTGGCCACCACTGTACTGCAAGTTATCTAGATAGAATATAGGGGAGGAAAAGCTTTTAATTTGCGCGCTTCACACAACTCAACACAGTAAACAAATATAAATGCGAACTGCAGTAATTAATGGTGAAAGGGGCAAACTTGTATATCATTGTTTAAAGCGCAAAACCGCGTAACTGACATTTGTGCCAAAAATGAGATGTGCTCACCGGAAGCTCAATTCGTACCAAAATTTCAATATTTTTATATCAAAAGGTAGAGATAATTAGATAAAAACGAGAGAATGGAATTGGAATATGACAGATTTTACTCTCTCCTGTAAAATGTGGTAACCACACATATGCCATTTTGTACTTTAAACGACGATATCATATTTTAAATATCTAATAATCAGTTTATATCAATACATGTGTTGATATTTGATGGATGCTTTAAAAGCGACTGCCTGAAGCGTCATCAATTTTAGAAAATGCAAAGTGAGCAACAATATCATTTGTCATGCATTCAACAACAACAACAGCAGTCAGCAATATAAAACTGCTGAGTACTGAAAATTGAAATATATTTATTTGCGAATGTTTGCACAATTACACGTGTATGTAAGTAGATGAAAGTGAGGCAATAAAATTACCCTGAAAAAATCGTTGGACCATGTGTGGTCTATTTGTGTCATGTTGGAGTAATTTGAAAATGCTCGTCTGTAATGCAGTGACGGACCAATGCCTGTCTCTTCACCAGCTTATTGTTACCCAATCCTTGCTCGTGTTTTAAAGATCGTAATCACTGCACGATTTTTATCGGACGGTAGGTATTCCACGGAGTAAATTCTTGGAGCAGCTATGTGCTAATCTGATGTAATGCAGGGCTGGAATATGTATATGCTCCTGCCGTAAGACATCGCAATGCTAATTGGAACACAAGTTTCATATGCATTTTGGGTAAATTGTTTTCTAGCACATAGAAGTATTTGTGTAATAAAACCGGTGAAAAGTCAGATTTATCAACCTTGATAAAAATGTCCTTAAATATATTATTTTTCAAGCTATATAACCGAGCTACTTTATCTTTGACGTACGTCAAAGAGAACATCCTTTTCTTGAAAGTTTTTTTGTTTTGTGTTTTGCGCCTTGGATAGCTGCGATTTCCTCTTTCGTTATTTTTAAAAAAAGTATGCGACATGAAACAGTAAATAATACTGTATTTATTCTATCTATTGTTTTTTAGCAAAAATCTTAAAAACCGGTAATTTGGTTTACTTCAGATCGTTCCCCATAAACTTCTGTGATCAATTGAAGTTGTGTAGTGTGAAATCTTTCAAAATCTTTCACGGTTGGTTTCTATGCAAATGAAGGCTTTCAATGCAAAGAAGCACAGCCTATCTACTAGTTAAGTAATACTTAAAATTTAATTAAAAATTCAGTCAAATGAAAATGCCACAAATGATGCCGAAAGGATATTTTGTTTGATTCTAGTAAAAATGTTGAACAATAAATACTCAATTATTTTGCTTTTCATGCGGAGCATTATGGCGAACAAATAAAATAACATGTTTGCGCATGTACACGGTGATTATATCCAGTTTCTTTACATTTGATTAGGCAAACATGTGTATGTACATATTTGCTAATATTTGGACAATGTGTACTAAATAGTTAGCAGCATTATTTTGACTATTGCTTTGGGCATTTACTATGAATTTTTGCTATTGTCCTATCTAATTTACGCAAAATTGGATTTGTTTTGTTGCAGTGCGGTATTTTAAATATGCTGCTGCCGGCAATTACTATTGAGTTTAAATTGCCAGATAAGCAGATGAGCAAAAAGACACAGCGTGTGATGGCGCATATTTCGATTAGTATCATTATTAGTATGACATACATACATATACACGTGTACATACATATTTAATAAAAGTCTGTTTAAGCTAAGTTCAGTTTATTTTCAGCAAAATTTTTTTTTTAAAGATTAAATTTAAAATCCAATAGAAGCCAAAAATGAAAAAGTTTCAAGGATCTTCGTTAAATATGAGATGATGATAAATAATGACTAAAGTAGTTTTCAATGATTAATACCGTGCACCTTAATGTTACTCATACGCAGTGGCATCCATACGCATATTCTACAAAAAATTAGCTTTCTTCTAAGTGATTACAACATTTGTCTCTTACCTTAGGACTTCTTTCCAAATATTTTGGGTCAAAATAATTTTACTTAAAGCTGAGAATAATTAAAAAAACGCATTTTCTATTCAAAAAATTTGCTATTTTGTGTGTAAATTAGAGAACTTTTTATGTAGCTTTCGACAATTTTCATGCGAAACTTTCATTAAACTCATATATCTACGGCATGTTCTAATTTATTGCTGATTTTAGCGTATGGAGGTGAAGTTGTTTGAATGACTGGAAAATACCAAACAAATTGCTTTTCAAATCTAGTTTCAGTTTTGGGATATCAGCGAAGTCACTTTTTTATTCAATAAAAGAATATGATTAGCAGGTTCATATTAAAATAACCAAGTTCCACAACCCGCTACAATTGTTTCCAGAAAGCTTGGATTATTTCTGACGACCGCTCTTTGTTCCATTATGAAATATCACATTAAAACTAAAAGTTGGATGCGAATAACTTTCGTATTCATTTGACAATCGAATTCAAAAAAAATAAAAAAATAAAAATAAAAATCAATAATGGGATTAGCAAGACGTGGTTAGCGGCGTAATGTTTTAAAACGTGTCTATGTTAAATAACGGTTAAAATAGGTTTAGTGGATTTGTAACGATACCAAATTATTTTTAAACCGATAAATTATATAAAACGCTTTTATCACAAATAGCGAGCCCCCTAAAACTATTTTGACCCATATGTTTTTTACGCTTTAAGACATTACGACACTTAACAAGGGTCGAGAAACCCACAATTGTTTAAAATGCGTACATGAGAACACAAGGGCGAGTCAATTTGTATGGGAGATTTTCTCGACTATGCGCATATAGCACTGAAGGATTGTAGTTGTAATTATGTGCAAATTTTCCGAAGAAACCATGGATCTAAAATCAATTTGAAGTGTGCCAAATTACTAAAATAGGTTTCTTAGCATTTAGAACGTATAAAAACAAGCTATAAGGGATTTTTAGGTATTAGGAATCCATTTATGCACTTTTATTTCTGCTTAAAACCTCCACCAGAGGGCGCAACATTGAGAACTTTCACATATTCTTCGAAACCTATTTTCGCAATTTGGTAAACTAATGAATACATATGTATGTATGTACTGTATGTTGAGAAATTGCGTGAGTCCATTTTAAGTACATGTATCGGAAATGCACTTATGTGCTAGTAAATTTAGATAACTTTTGTCGTCTTCAAATCCACATAATAACAGAATTAGCTTTGTATTAAGCTTATTATACGTATAATAAACTTTCGGGTGTATGCATAAATGTTTAAGATTGACTTTCATCTTAAGTAGTCGCATTCGAAAATCGCATGCATTTCATTACTCTTCCGCATGTTAATTATAAAGTTGTGAAAAATAAAACGCCCACATTGTTATTGTATTTTTATTTCCGGCAACAAATTTCAAAGAATGTTTTACGCGCTGCTTATGCTTTGTTGATTCCCTCCTCGCATCAAGTGTATAAAAAAGCAATGAAATGAGTTTGTTTAATAATTCGTGCTTTGGAACTTTTTCTTCATGACTTATTTTGTAGATTATATGCATGCATATACATACGTATGCTCACTTATTCTCGTTTACACGTTATTTATGGCCTTGCTTTGTTGGCAGAAAACGCCTCTTTCATTGCTTATGTATGTATGTACGTATACCTTTCAAGCCCGCAAACACGTTACGCCCCTACTTTTAATATATGTAGTATACCAAACAACTTGAAATGGTTTAACATACCAGAAGTGCACACTAATGTAATGTATGTATGTCGAGTTTTTGTATGTTCAGGAGCATTTCGAGTTGGCCTTTGGGTGTATTAACAACGACTTGATTTGACATTTATGGCCAAAATATTTAACACAAAAAATATAATGGCACTTACGTATTATGCAATAGGAGAAATGAAATACAGACTAAAGTCCCAACAACAGCAGCATAGGTGCCATAGCATAAAATCTAATAAATTTTTGGTATGTAATAAAATGAGCTTAAATTTAGCTATGTATTTAACTACGCATAGAATTCAGTCTGAGTTTAAGCGAAATTTTATTGCTGTAAAAGCTGTCATTATTTTGCATAAATATACTTGTAGATATGCATGTCTGTATATTTGAAATGTAATTTGGAGAAATCCCGCTGGGAAAAGAGGTAAGCATCTTACGAAGTAATCCATGTTTTTTCACCTTTTATTTAGTGCCAAAATTGTCATCTTGACCAATGTCATTTATTAGTGAAGCACAAAATGAACAACTGCGATGAGGCCTGACGTTGTAAGCTGCAAAATAACGTGACGTCGAAGTTATTTCCGAGCGATTTTGTTTCACACAAAATATTTTTATTGCTGACTAGCAAACACCCGGCGTTCTTCACTGCGCCTTAAAAGTATTTTTGTGTTGTTTGATACCCGGATTGTAATATCCCATTTATTTTATCAATTTAATTAAATGAAAATTTTCAAACATGTGGCAATCTCCATAAAAATATTTTCGGCTGTAAGCCTTCTTAAACCTCTTTCTCTTGACAACCATATTGCAATACTTACTTTATCTTAGCAATTGCTTAAGCTGCAATTTTAAAACAGGTGGCAACTCTTTAACTTTTTCTTTTCTATATTTTAAGTTAGACCTCTAGCAAATACATCGGGGAAAACTGCATTCAATGTAAGGCATTAGTTTTCGTTTGAAGCGCGAACAAACATACGACAGACAGACATACAAAAATTTTAAAAATTGTTAATTTGGCTTCTTTTGCTCTAATATTAACATTGGCCTGTTACAATTTTTGTTATATTTATAGTAGATGTCGGAAGTTAAAATTTAATAACGCGATGTGATGTGCGATGTAGTGTGCGATATGATATCAAGGTATTATAGTTTTGGTATGGATATTTAATTCATTGTGCTTTAAGTGCTGATTTACATATATACATTTTTTATGACCGTATAAATAAAAGCTAAATTTAACAAAAGGTCATCCATTTTTCCCCCCAAATTTATCATAATTTTTTCTCAGTCGCGCTGTGGTTCAACATCAGCATCGACCTTTAATTAATATCAATTAAACGCGATTTGTTCAACTATTTCGAACCAAATTTTTTTACAACCCGATTGATAGATACATTTTTTTCAGAGACACAGTAATTGGCTAGCTTTTTGCATAATTAATCATCTCCTTACATTGCGTGGACGAAAAAAAATTAAATAAATAAACAAAGATATAGCGCTTTTCCACACAGTTCAAAGTTCTGTTAAATTGGCGCAGAATGAAAAAAATATGTAATTGCCGCTTAATACTATTAACTATAGAATAACTGCTAATAGCAGTATTATTGCCAAGCATCAAAGGTTATTTGAGCTTTTAGTCATTTTATTTACCCAATCGGAAATCGGTTAGTAATACATTCCTCTCAAAATGCCGAAGGTTTATTGTGTTTGCTCATGTTTAATAGAATTAATTTAAAAAATGATCAATCAAATCATTAAAACCAAAATAATCCCTTCAAATTGAATGAACCGTAAAGTCCATGCACTGCCTGCCGACATTTTTAAACCATCCTAATAATAACCGGTTCCTGTCCCCGATGCAATCACCCAAATAACATAAATTCTACATTTAATGCTTGCACTTTTTCACAGGCACCTTTTTCTGCTTCTCATACTCTCTCGCTCTCACTTACCATTAATTGGCGAAAATATATTCAAGTAGAGGCAGTCTTCTGATTGATTTTCCAAGAATGGCAGCAACCTTTTTAGATACTCCAGCCGCCCTTTTGGCATTTTCTCCAGCGCCGCCGTCTCATTTTGTATGTTGGGCAGACGTTGCGGACAAACGGGACTGTACTTGTCCGAAATGCGTATACCATCCCACGGTGCTGGCGCACGTGTCGGACTAAACCTGTGTCAGCGACAAGAAGAAGAAGAAGAAGAGTGCAGAGGAAAATCAGTAATATTTACAAGAATAAAATAAACTCTTTGTAAGGCTACAAAAGAAGAGAATGGATTAGTGCGATTGATCACAGATTTGCCGTTAAGTGGCTGTCGGCAGGCAAAGATTTTTTTTTCCCTACCACCAAGTATGTATGTGTGTAGGTAGGTGCGTTTTATCTTTAAATAATGGAGCACAAATCAATTTAATTCATTAACAATATAGCAGAGGGAAAAAGGCTTTAAGTGCACTTATCGTTTTCGCATTCCCGAGCGCAACTTTTTGTTGGCAAAAAAATGAGTTTGTTTTCCCTTTCATTTCCATGCCTGTTTTATTGACCTTAACTGTCGGCTTACTACACAAAAAGTTTTTTATTTTGCATTGGTTCAGTTTTGTAGATTTTAATGCTTGTCGCTTTTTATTTTTGCCACTTTTATTGCTTTTGTTGTTGTTTCGATTTTGCAAAACTTTTGCAATAAAATTTTATTCAACAATTTTCCGGCTGATTGCTATGGTGGTAGATAGCGGTTGTTTTGACGCCATATTATAATTATGTGTCATATTGATTTTATTGAATCAAATGGAAAAGTTTTTTGGGTTTTTGATGGAATTTAAATGTTGGTACATATTTGCTGTACGTACTGGGTTTAATGAAGCTTACAATGGTGAGATTATTTTTTCTATGTTGAGCTGCCCATAGAAAAATTTGTTAATTATTATGTACCATCTACGGTGACGAGTAAGTAAATGGGGAAAAGACATCACAGCAAGTTTTGCCTAATTTGCTTTGCTTAAAAATTTTTATAATTTTTTTATGAAAATATTGCTTACTATCTAAAAAGGACCTTGTAAATCAAAGTTTCAAATTTTGTAGAACATTTATGAAAATGCGACAAATTTTAACATGTTGATACAATTTTTAAACTTTTTTAATCAGATTTTTTTTGGATTTTGCCCATTTTATAGCTAATTACATTTTAGTATAATAAAATGCCAGTTGGAAGTAGCTAGCATTTACCGTTCATTTTTGTATTTTTTTTTTATGGCGAAAATGAGCAACACGTTTTACAAAAAAAAAAATATCAAAAATCACCACTAAGTCCTAGATACTTAAAATTTTCACTAAACTACATAACTAAAATTGAATGGGCTGCAAAACTATATACTCAGAATATTTCTAGGGAATCTAATTAAAAGCTAAATATTTTGATAAAACATAGATAATTGTAACAATTGTAGTATTTATGTTCATCAGTTTTCTTCATTCGTATTATCAGCTCTCTCCCTTTTTTATTTTTAAGGATCAAAGATTGAATACATTCCCGTACAATTCCCGATTTCGTTATTTGAATTCTATTGCTTTTAATCTCGCTTAGCTGTTAACGGAGAAAGCGTCTTATGTGGCTAGCAACATGATATTCAGTAGAAGACTAGCAGCCTTCTTTATAACATCAGGTTCAGCACGGTAGCCGCTGCGGGCGTTTGGCAAAGGAAAAACCTGACTGATAAGCACGTTTACTGAATAGAAGCCAGGAGCTGGTTTATTGCTTGAACATACATACTATCATCGGCGTAGCCAGAATGAAATTTAGAGGGGGGAGGGGGGGGGGGGTCGCTTCTTTTATGCGAAGGCATACTATGAGCCCTTGCACTTTCTCAGTAGCATTATATTTGTTCCCCTTATCTAGAGGCTTGCCCCAGATTTATAATCGGGCTTATGACTTTCACGCACTTACTATAGGTTATATGTTGCTTTCCAAAAGTTCTTTTCAGGTATCGTAAGCCCGAATGATATATAAACATTTTTGTTGGTTGATAAAAGGCGATAGCTTTAGGTTTTCTTGTGAATAAGACTAGTAACGATTTGTAGCCGCTCTGGTTGGTCTACTGAGAGATGTCATCTAGCGCTTACTGGATATTACTTAATCGGCGAACACAGGAATTCTTACCCCCCTCCTGTTCAGCGTAACTCTAAACACCAGAGTTGGATAAATATATTCACCACGGGTATAATTTTTCACCCAAATGTTTCTTAATGGTGGAATTAGTTTTCTCATCGTGCACATAGTACGAGCTTTTTGATTCTAGGCATTCCTTATGTTATGGAATCCAAATTTTCTGTCATTCTATAATAGTGCCAAGGCGTTGGAGATTTTATTGTAGAAGAAATAAATTAATATTTGGCACTCACATTTTTGTTAAACGTTAAACGTTAAGTCGAGCTTCAGTTAGTTATTGAAATCGCTTGTTTAAAGTGAAAATTATGAAATATTGAATTTCCCTTGCACCAAGCGCTTTAATTTTTATTTATTTTTAACATATTAAATGTAAACATTTTTTTCGCTCTTAGTATATTTACTTTCAATTATAACCTATAATTTTTCGCAGCTTCTCCAATTTTTTTTTTTTTCATTTTCTTTAACATATAGTAATTCATTTCATCTCACACTACCGGCCAGCAGCATTATCTTTGCCGTCAAGTAATTTTTGCTGGGCGTTGTTAATAATACAATCAAATTAAAATAACGCACCCGACCTGACATCAAACTTATAGTTAATGCCACCTAAATTCCACGTCGTCACTCATTTCTTGTTACATATTTTCTCTCTTGCAGGGGCACATCATCGTAGCTCCTACATACATACATACCTACATTAACTGCTACTGCTGCTTCAATGAAGCGAAAGCATTTTATAATATTCAAGGCACTTAGATATTCAAAAATATTGCAGCCACTCAGCCGCCAACTAAACATTCGATACGCTGAAGTAATTCCATCATCATCGTCATCCAATTTGCGCATAAAGTGGCTATGTATGTATGTATGTATGTACATAGGTATAAGTGTGCTTGTTTGCTTAGTAGTATGGTGGTCATGGCAACCACTTGGCTCCTTGTTTGATCCGCTTATAAAATGAAGAGCGGCAAAAGTTGCAGCGTAATTGCTTGCAATGATGTTACAGCAACTTTTCAAAATTCTTTGCTGTGCTCTTTGTACATATGTATGTATGTTCATATGTCCTTACGCTTGTTTGTCTATGCGTGTATATATTTTCGAGTTTCACTCTGTTCTTTACTGAGCCTAAACATATGCTTTGCAATGTAACTCTAACAACTGACGTAACGTTAGCTTGTTCGTTTGTATATTTGTCGTCCGTTGTCCTTCAAAAATAATTTCTTTTGTTTGCCTTTTTTAGCTATCTTTTACGCGATTCGTTTTAGGTTTTTCTCAGTTCGTAATTTAACAGCACAGAAAATTACTGTTAAAAAACAGCTGGTTTTCATTTTACAACTACAATAAAAATGGCATGAAATGCAAGTAAAAATTCGAGAAGCATAAACGGCAAAGGCAAACAGCTGAAACGAAGCGAAAATATTGCTTAGGTAGTAGCAGTTAGGTGGTTAAGGGCAAAGACCAGGCGGTGCGCACACAAGCTGATTGTTAATAAGTTTTAGTAAAAATTACACCAAAATAAACTTACAGGCAAACAAGCTGCCAAAGCGGCTGCATTTATTTAATTTGTTTTGATTGTGCTACCAAACCGCTGACGAACTTAGGAAGGTATTTTTTTCATTTTTTATTATTAGACAGCATCCAAAAGTTTATCATTTTCCAATAGCAAGCATGGAGAAGAGGTGAAGTGGAAAAACTTTTGCGAAAATGATTACTTTCGCATAAAATTTTATGGGCAATTGGATGCATGAACGCAAAACTTAAATTATTTCCATAATTTGCATAATGCTTTTATATTTAGTCGATTAAGTTTCTAACTAGAAAAAACTGCGTAGGGCTGGTGCAAGAACTAACTCAAATATTTACTTCTCATACAATTTTTTGTCGAAATAATGAAGACATTAATTCTTACTGCCGGTGTCACGAAATCAATTTAAGTGAAGTCAGTTTCCATATTCTAGAAAAAATACAAATTGGAAAAAATTCAAACTGTAACATGGAAATATTACTCATACGCCATGTACGAGTACGGTCATGTTCGACATGGCGAATGAGAAACATTATTTCCTGCTCCTATTCACAAATTGTTTATTTATCCATCGCTGTTAGCTTGGATTTTTTTTTTGTTGTAAAAGAGGAGGCTTTGATACACATGCGCCTTTTGGAAAAGATTTGTAATTTTTCTGCGGCGTTCTTGCAAAGTTTTCTGAAAAGGACGTTTTCGATTTATTGTTTTAATTAAAATGAAAATATGTTTGGAAAATGACTTGATCTGGAAAAACGTATACAGATCCATAATTTAGAACCCCATATTAAGTTTACGTGTTTCGGGGTGTTTTTTTTTTGTGTCACTTCAAAAATTATGATTTTCCCTACAGTGTTGCAGCACAAAATTTACTAAAAAAGTACGTTTTTGAGGTTAGAAAAGAAAAAATATGTATATATACGCTAACTTTTATACTCTGACCTCGAATTTGGATTCAGCCAGCCAAAATACGTAAGAAATTACCACTCTGGTCTACCGTACTTGAGACCTTTTGTCGGGTGTCGGTTTTATAGACACCGGCATTGATGGTGTTTCATTATAAAAAGTCGAAGTTCATTCATGCACTGTTGTTTTTTTTTCATTATTAACTTTTTTTTTTGTCTAAATACTTTAAACTTTGAAGTAACTTTAAACAACACAAAGAGTGCTCGCACTGTAAAACGTTCTGAGAACGTAAATGCTAAACGATTTTATGATGAAAAAGACAGAACGACTCAAATTGCATAGTGTTGCCGATTTCAAAGACTATTTAGTGACTCTCATATTCGTAAAAACAACATAGTAGCTGTTCGCTTTTCATTCCCTTTTTGGTTTTATTGGCTTCAAGTCATTCAAGTGTTTGTGTATAGCATAGGTACGTATGCATATAACTTGTGTACGTATTCCGTAGACTTTTATTTTTATTTCACGATTTTACTATTCGACAGATGAGCACTCACCTAAAATGCCCATTATCCATAATAGTTGTTATTGTCATTGTTGTTGCTGCACTTATTTTTATTACGCGCATTCTAAAGCTAATTAAATTTTGTCAAATCAAATTTCAACAAGTTTTCATTTCAACGCAATCATAGACGTAGAGCCATTAACAACTTTCAAAATATACACTAACAAGTTTGTGCGCAGTTTCATAAATATCTTAAGAACGCAACAACAATTCGTGATTGGACATTTTGGAGTTGCAGCGACAGCAGTGCAAGCCATTAAATTTGTTAAGAATTTATTTTGATGTCGCTGAAGAAGCTGCCATAATCTGCCACTTTTCCATTATCTGAATTTTATAGCTTCAAATTAATGCTTTGATATCGTAAAATTTTGTGAAGCTATGCTGCGCACTTATTTGAAAAATTCATAATTTCCATAAATGAGTCCTTAAAATGTAAATGAGATATCGTAAAATCTGTTAATAAAGGGGAGTAAAGCATCTGCTTCAGGCGATTTTTTTCCTATCAGATACGGCGCAGAAGAGGAAATTAGTACGTAGAAATCACAGTGAGCTTCTCTTGGCGGAAGATATATGAAGAGGGTTGAGAAGTGAAGCATTATGATTCAGATACATGCCTGCTTATAAAGTGTGATAAGAGATTATAGATATGGATTATGAAAAAGGCATGAAAGAAGGGCTTCCAAATACTAAGTGTTTATTTCTAATACCTAATATTGAGAAAAGAGTTTTGTTTCAGCTACCATCGTCCCTATCCACGGATCTCAGTTACTCTTCACTAAAAGCTCCACGAGTGTCGCCAAAAGCTTGAAAGGTTTTACCTTCATATCTCAAATATACTATAGACGCCAGCTAGAAAATTTCCGCTGTTGTTGTTGTTGTAACAGCATAAAAATTTCTCAGATAGTATAAGTGAACGTTGCTGATGTGAGGAAGCTTTGGCAGATATAAATTTTAGGCGTTCCATTTACGAAAACCTTAACTGTTGTGAAATTTTTGTCTTCGCCTCTGCTAGAAGAAATCCCAATCTAGTTTTGGGAGTAATCAAGCTACATATCAGCATAGAGAAACTCTCTCTCTCTTCACACTTATTGGCTTTTGTTAACTTAAACAATGTGATCAGTTAAAAGATGTGATCAGTTTCGAGGCGAGTATCTTTTGAAATTCATTTGAAGCCAGCTCTTTTAAAATAGAAAATGAGTTTCTTTGCACACGCGTTATTTATATAATTTAAAGCCAAGCATTAGCTTTTAACACATTGCAAAAAAAAAGTACTAAAATTTTCCAACTCACCGATTTTGCTTAGTCGGTGGCGTCGCATATGGCACACCGAGGAACACCTCTACCGAGCGTAAAAATCGAAAATTATCCAGTGGCAAAATTAGTCCATGCAAGCGGCCGTAGCGCGTCTGAACTATCCGATGACCGAGGCGCGCATTCTTATAGATATCCAGCGTTGAAGCCTGCGCCACACCAGGAAGCAGCACACTCCCCGCCAGCAGCGCAGTGATAACCAAAATCAGCAAATTAGGCAGCCACTGTAGAGACCCAAGCAAATGATAACAACTTTTGTTGTAGGCGCTCCCGCTGCCAACCAGCGAGTTGTTGAAGCTCCGTGTTGCTACGCTCAGTGTGCAGCTTTTGTACGCTGATCTGCAAGTCCTTAAGCGAGTCATTTTGTAAGTGTTTTTGTGCTTTTCCTTCATTATGGTTGTATGATTGGTTGATTATGGAGTATTTTTGTGTAAGTTTTTTTTTTTTTTAATTTTCTTCACCTAATTGTCAAGAAACGACCAGCGGTCCTATCTGTATGGTGTGCGCGATTTTAGTCGTACGCTGTGTGCCATTTTTGTTAAATTTCTTAGGACTTAGGATCAAAGGTAGTTTCTTTGCCTTTTGTTGAAAGTTTTGCTAAATGCGTTTCTATTTCTTCATTTATGTTATATTTTGCATACTTTTTGTTTGTCGACAGTTGGCAATAATGGCAGTTTATTGAATGCGATGATTTGACGTGCATTAAATGGGGCTGCAAAGAAAATAAATTTTGGTTAAATATTTGTATACATAAGAACTACTCTTATATTTGAAATTAAATATTTTTTATTTAAAAATTGCCTAAGCTAAAAATTTTGAACTCTTAAAGCTCAGTTAGTGTAGACTTAATTAACTTAACGTAAGTTAGGTTACGTCTAGAGTAACTGCGCCTTTATAGTTTAGTTTCAAGTCACCCATCTGCGCCTCGAGGTGGCTCATACGTCGCGGCGCTGGCCAGTATTTTATTAGATAAAACTGTATAAATAAAATAAAAAATATCGTTTAGTTTACTACATTTATTTATTTCAAAACTAGCTTCTGGCTGCGATAAGTTTAATAATTACAATTGTTTTTAATTTACATAATGTAATTTCTCAAACACAATTTAACATTTTTAATTGCATTTAAAAAAAATATAAATTCAGTAGTGCTACGTATTTGTAGTTAGCTCATTCAAATGCTATCCTTTATATACATATGTATGTATATATGCATATTATTTTCATTGTTTAACTTCGTTCATTGTTGCTTGTGGGTGTTGTGGCAAACGTTCAACTTTTGCAATTAAATTTACGAAAAAGCGCTAATGAGCTGCAAACAATTAGAGTATATTGAGAGAGCAAGGCACGCACATTCAGCAATACCTTAATAAGAAATATATATGGATATATATATATATATTTACGTCTATACAAGTACATTAGCGTGGATCTGCTTTTTAGAGTTTTGATTGGTAAAATATAGTTCATAATGCTCAAAAAACAGTCTGTGTGAAAGATGACAATTTCTGGTCAATATCTTAGATACGCCCGAGTCCATCCAAGTTTAAGTGCAAAAAAAGTTTTTTCTTAGCTTACTCCGATTCTCTACAAAAGATTATGTAGAACTAATACTTTCCAAGATACTTGAATTTTCAGTAAAAAGAAATGTATTTATCAATTTTTATGGTTTGAGCACATTGAACTTTGATGGTCTTTGCATCTTTCACACAAATTGTTTTTAGCAGGGACGTGAACCGGATGAAAAATTTGCTTGGTTCGGTTCAGCGGTTCGAACCGTTTTTGCACTTTTGGATTGGTTCGTCAAAGCTGCTTTTTGGTCTTTGAACCGGCGTTTCTGTTCGGTTCAACGGTTCGAGAAACAAAAAAATTACCCGCAAGTTTAAGTGTCAAGTGTCAAGTGCAACAACGTGCAAGGTTAAGGGTCAAGTGTCTGTCAAATGAGATGAGTTGCCTTTACATTTGATATTATCACATGGTAAACAAACATGACGGGTATTACCAAAAAGAAAAAAAGTGGGTACATTTATCTATAGAAAATTGGTTGCAATGAACCTTTCAATCTTTATAGAAAGTGGTTCGGTTTTCGGTTCGGACCAAACATTTGTGGAAAATTTCGGTTCGGTTAATTAATAGAAAATAGCGGTTTTCCGGTTCAAAACCGGTTCGGGTCAAAACCGGTTCACGTCCCTGGTTTTTTGAACATTATGAACCATATTTTTGCTACTACCAATTAAAATTCTCAAAAAGCAGATTTTTGGCCTACGCTAATGCACATATGTATGTTTGTACAAATGTATATATGCATATACGACTTCCCAGGCTGAAAAATAACAAATTAGGGACATTTTTCGTAACGCCCTCCATGACTTAATCGATTTTGTTTGTATTCAATGGCCACAGTTTTAAGCTCTTCTGATGAAATTGCACTTAGAAAATTAAATTAAATATAACAGTGTCCAACACCATTTCTGGTACAAATAATAATATTAACCATGGTAATATTTTGAAAGACGACACCTTAGTGTCCATTTGCGCCGAAAAGGGACATGGCCCAGCACGTTTACATTTTTTTTTTGTATTCACGCGCAAATGTTAAGGGGTCTTAAACTGCATTTGTACTGCGACTATGAAAGCTTTGGCTGAGAGCGTTAAATTAGAAGTGCTCCTCGAATTGCCGACTGGGTTGACTTTCAGTTATTTCGGTTTCCAAAGGTGCACAAATGAATTTGGTTAAGCTTTGTTTTAAAAACTGCAAAAAAGATGGCTACAAAGTTGCCAAAGAACGTTTGCTCAATGAAATGAAATTAAAATTTATTCAGGATTTCCCGTATATATGAATGCACCATTGAAAATGCACCAGATTTTGTGCTTATAAGCGAGAAGTGCTGGTATGAAAATCCCGCTTAGAAGCACTGATTGTGCTTATATTGAAATACTCCATTATACATATCCACTTATGTAATTGAACCAGACGAGCGACCACTATTACATAATCTATTACATAATAAATTTTCATTTGAAATACCCACCTTGCATTTGAAAGATTACTTTTATAAAAATCACCTTACTGAGTCGATCACTTCTGATGACTAAAAACTGATTAAGCGCTGTCGCGACTTAAAAAATTCTGCAAGATGCTGCTGGCGTATGTAGATGATATCGACATCTTTGGCCTGAAACCCAGGGATGTCAGCGCTGCATTTTGCAGCTTAGAAAAAGAAGCTAACGAGGTTGGTCTAGCAGTGAACGAGGACAAGAAAAAGTACCTACTGGCAACACATAAAAAGTCCTCGCGTATTGAGACACACGTCACTGTTGTCAGTCATAACTTTGGAGTAGTGAAGGACTTTCTTTACTTAGGATTGAGCATTAACACCACCAACAATGTCAGTCTGGAGATAAAGCGAAGAATAACTCTTAGCAACAGCTGCTACTTTGGGCTCGGTAGGCAATTGAAAAGCAAAAGATCCCTCTCTTTAGTTTAGAAGCTTTTGAGAGAACTATTCTCCACAAGATTTATGGCCCGTTCGCGTAGGCGACGAGTACCGCACAAGATGGAATAACGAACTGTACGAGCTTTATTTCTGAACTATTTATTTAGCGGGATTGCCACATGTTTAGATAATAAAATTTAACTTAATTCATCAGTTAATTAAAATATGTATCAGAATGTCAGACGAAGCATATTTAAGAATGTTTTAGCGTGAACCTACTTTTGTTTAAAAAGCCGATTTTTATAAACTTTTTCGCTTCGAAAGGGTGTTGAGAAAACTTGAGTTTGAACGTTTTGAATGTTTGAAGAGGGTTACCACGTGTTTATAAAGTGACATTGAAATTATTTAGTAATGATGATAATTAAATGATTTAGAGAAGGCTTTATTTATGAAATATATTTGGCGGGGTTGCCACCTGTTTAAAAGATCCAAATCAACTTAATGAAATATGTATTAAAATTTGGGTGTATAAATTGTCGTTAAACGAAAGAGTGTTAAGAAATATTTATTTTTTAGGCGTTTGAAGAGAGATGCCACCTGTTCAAAGATTAAATTATTTAAAAAGTTAAATGAATTACTAAAATGTGGCTGACAATCGTGAAGGTTTAATTTCTGAAATATATTTATGTGGGAGGTTTGCCACGCATTTTGTAAACTACATTCAGACTATTTAATATGTTAAATGAAATTTAAAAGAATGGATATCAATCGAAATTGGTTTGAAGAGATTCAAACGGACCCTGACCTGTAGACGTCCGATAAGGTTTTAGTTTTTGAAATTAAAAACTCTTTTTTTTGAAATTTTACGTTTTTTACATTTCGACGTTTTAACGCCGAGCGGGTTCACTACTGTTTACATATTTTCGAAAAAGATAAAAAAAATTTACTAAGAAATAATTTTCCTCCTAAGAAAAATTTTCTTTTAATAAATAATGTTTAAAAACACTTTTCTGGAAAATTTTTAAATTTTCCTAAGAACATTTTAAAAAATTATTTTCGAAAAATATGTTTCTTAAAATCAAAACATATTAGAAAAAGTATTCCCAAAAATATTTTTTTTCTAATTTGTCAAGCGATTTTGGTGCAAATATTTACGTATATTCAATAAAAAATTTTTTTTCTTAAAATTAATTCTCCCTAAAAAAGTCGAGTGAGTGTGGTAGATATTTTTACATATTTATTTAATTGTATGATAAAAAAATCTTGATAAAAATAAGGCACATTAAAACAATGGAAAATTTCAAATTCAAAGGGATGGCTCGAGTCTTCAAAGAATGTCGTAACGTACACAGCACGCCATATATGTATTTAAATTGAATGATTTTGAAGTCTTAATGCAAATTATATTTACATATCTGCATTAAATAATTTAGCACAATCGCTCAGATATCTCGAAGCTGTTAAGTGACAATTCGCCCATATGCTGAAATTTTGGTCATTGCTAATGTATTGTTATGTTAATTTGTATATGGTATAAATATTAATATCACACCAAGTTAGATCCTCTTCAATGCAAAGTGACCTGCCCAAATAAATATTTACGAATAAACATACATCATGGCATTTTTTCAGGTATTTTCGGGGTCTTCGACCCACCACCATGCATGGCATTTGTTTACTTTGTAAAACCTTTCATTTTAAATTTGTTAATTAAAAGATTTTGCATTTTACGTTGATGTTCATTGACCCGAACCAAAAGTTCGCACAGCTTATTCACATGCCAGTATGTACAAATATGTATGTATGTGCATGTGTGTATGCATACCCAACACTTTTGGCACGATGCCGAGTCAAGGCAGCCAGTCAGTGTCGGTAATAAATTCATTTGCACCTAAATTTGTATGCAAGCAAGATACATTTTCGGTAACACATTTATCAAAAAAAAGAATAGAAAAGGTATACATTCGCATTTTACAAATATGCACGCAAGTTTGTGTGCCGCTTGCCGCTTGCCACAGCACATTTTTCATGGTACACCAAGAGCAATGAATATGTTCAACCGAATATGAGAAATGTTGCGCATACCACCGTAATTACAAACAAATATTTTTACCCATTACCTTCATGTGTGTAACGAAAAAATACAACAACAACAACAAAAAAAAATGCAAATGTAGCAACAGCAAAGCAAACACCGTGTGAGAGCAGCAAGCAGCCCAGAGGCTGCCGCAGTTGGAATGGGAAATTAGCGAACAACTCCGGAAGCGTGTGAATAA